AGCCAGATAGAAGGAAAGCATCTCAAAGGAGAAGACGGAGGCACGTGGAGGTAAAGAAGAGAGGAGAAACACAGCTGGGGCTGACTGACGCTTCTCTGCGCCAGAGAACTTTCTCTGAAAACTCACTCCCTGAAAAGTCAAACGCAGCTCTGTGTGAGCTATGGCGTGGAAGAAACAGCAGGGAAAAAAAACAAACAAGAACATAAATTAAAAGCAACTTGAGGGGAAAATGAGTTAAAAGAAATATGTAGGAGTGCGAAGGGAAAATGTTTGGGACATACAGTTAGCCAGATGAAATGAATTTGTCACAATAGGTGCAAATCTAAATGTTCGGAAAAATAATAAATACAAACGGGGTGAAAACATTTATTATGTGAAATTTTGATTTAATAAGAACATTGTGTCAATCCAAATGTGTATTAGTAAACCAAAAGGAGAATGAAATTGACTTCGTTTACAATAAAATGGTGATTACTGATTCGGGACACACCATAAATGTGTCATTGTATTGGTCTATATGATTTGTGCAGTATATTAATACTATATTCTAAAGCTACATAAACATTAGTTATTACATAAGTTAACATAAGTAAACATAAGTTATAATATAAAATACAAATGATAAGTTTATTCCCAGCAGGCCTACAAAGTCATAAGACTTTAACATTAGGGTTAGATATAGGACATGATGTCAGGTGGCCAAAAAGTATTATACTTCTGTACTGTATTATATTATATTATATTATATTATATTATATTATATTATATTATATTATATTATATTATATTATATTATATTATATTATATTATATTCATTTTCTTTTTGGCTTAGTCCCTTTATCAATCTGGGGTTGCCACAGCGAAATAAACCGTCAACTTATCTAGCACGTTTTACACAGCGGATGCCCTTCCAGCTGCAACCCATCACTGGGAAACACCCATACACTCTCATTCAAACACATATTTTGCACGGACAATTTAGCTTCCCAATTCACCTGTACCACATGTCTTTGGACTGTGGAGGAAATGGAGCACCCAGAGGAAACCCACGCAAACACAGGAAGAACATGCAAACTCCACACAGAAACGCCAGCTGACCCAGCCAAGGCTCGAACCAGCAACCTTCTTGCTGTGAGGCGACAGCACTACTTACAGTACTGTGCCACTGCATTGCCTTTATATTATATTATATTATATTATATTATATTATATTATATTATATTATATTATATTATATTATATTATATTATATTATATTATATTATATTATATTATATTATATTATATATAATATTATATAATATTATATAATATTATATTATATTATATTTACAGTTCAGTAGTATTCTGAATATGTGGGATGTGGTACATTCAAAGATAAAGTTTATGTAAGTTATTTTTAAACCAAGCCATAAAAGCATTTTGCATAATTATTTGTATTAATCATAATGAATTATTTGAGGTTTGATACCACACTAAACCATATATTCTCAGCCATTGTTTAAATAAATGGAATATATATATATATATATATATATATATATATATATATATATATATATATATATATATGTATATATATATATATATATAAATATTTAATGTTATATTACATACTTGGCAATGCCAGTTGTTATGCATATTAGTGTTAGGACCTTCAAACGTGTCAGTCTGAGATGTGGAATAGACTTTGAGTAAATGATGATCCCATTTACATTTTGTCTTCAGTTAAACTGAAGAAGCATTATGTACAGTAGGCCATCCGGTGAAAAGGTGAGAATGGGTATCTCGCCCATCAAAGTCCTGGCAGTCAGGCATGTTGGCAGCGGTTGACTGGCACAGCCTTATCGTTCTGTAGGCTTATGAGCTCAGCGTGCAGGGGCAAGCCAGCAACTCACATTCCTCAGGGGAGGAACGGCACCTTGGCCCGTTGAGTCTGTTTTCAATGGCAACCATTATGAAACCATACACCTGACATTTTCCCAGAAATCTGGGGGAGGGACCGACAGGGTGACCCCGCAAATCACGCGGCTGCTTTCACTCACTGGATTTCCCACAGACGGCCCTGCCATGTCTTCACCGATTCAGATTTCTTTCCACAAATAGCCACACCTTTATTTAGGTTGGTGATGGAGATGGGAGCTAATCTAACAAAATTCCTTATGATAACAGTCCAGAAATTAGTAGCGCAAATTTTTATGATACAGAAAATTATTAAATCAAAATTTAAGAAAAAGCAGAAATTAGGAGAAACAAAGTTATATATATGAATTTGTTGAAATTTTGTAGTTTGTAATTTTTTTTTTGTAATATTTTGTTTGAATTTAACCCTATTATCTTTCTATTTATAAATATTTTTGGTGATTAAACTATTATTTACATGAATATATTGATTTAATAAATCTGTTTTGTTAAAATGCAGTAACAAATATTACCCATATACACTAAGAATATATTAATTCATATAAAAAATATTTATTTTTGAAATGGGGTGTACTCATTTAGCACTGTACAGTATATAGTTCATTTGAAACTGAAAATTCACTTGTCCCATACCTGTTTGACTTTCTTTCTACTGTTGAACACAAATCAGACACCCTAGTTTTTTGGGATTCCACGATTGCTAAATCCAACATAAAATCAACAAAGTAGTTTACAAGAGAAAACGATTCCCTGCCACTGACGAGTTTTATGGAAATCCTGAGTGAGGTACATGATGTCAAATGCTCTGGGGAGTGAAATCTGAGGGAAAGTAAGATTGTGGATAAAAATAAGAGTTTTACAACCTTCCTTTGGCTTAATCCCTACCCTTTCAGATATGTTTTAGACAAGAGACAAAAATAAAGATTTTGATGATTGGTTGCACTCCTAACATAGTAGGCTACCTAATATGGTAAATAATATATATATATATATATATATATATATATATATATATATATATATATATATATATATATATATATATATATATATATAGTTTTTTATATAGCAAAATTGCTTGCAAATTTCTGGGAATTCCCGTCACTAATTAATGTATAATAATTAATAATTAATAGTTATTTTCATCGCAAAAAAATCACAAAATAAATCGTGAAAAACTAGGGGGTCTGACAAAAGCTGGAAACATGTAACCACTGACTTCACTTCACTGTTAACAATTTCCTGTAGTATCTACAGTAACTTACTGGCAGCATTTCACCAGTAATGACTAAACCAATTACAGCAAAAAATACTGTATTTACATTTACAGCACCATTTATCTTGCTCTATATTTATTTACAGAATTCGATGTATATATATTTACTGTAAAATATACAGTCATTTTCACAATGCAACTTTTAAATATCCTATAACTGTCCAACAGTAAAATGTCGTTCATATTAGGCGTGTTAAAATTAACTGTTTCTTTGGTGCACCGCGATGCAGATGCAGACTACTCGGTATAGGTTCAATAATAGATCTTAACCGGTTATTACATATGTCATTTATCTCTTATGTGCTATGTCGTGGTAGCTTACTATGGTGAGCGAGGTGAGCGCGAGTAATTAATACACTCCAACTACTTAATGCAGAAACTCTGCACAATTCACTGCGCGAGTATTTGCTGGACAGTCTTTCTCTGACACTGAAGTTACAGCAGAACCCCTATTTCACTGCGATTCCATAAACAGCGCCAGCGTGTTGAGCCAATTGCAGCCCTTTCTGTTAAGCATGTGACCAATCATAATGGTGTAAGAACTCACTCAACAGAGAGCATATTGCTATAAATGCTCAAGTTCTTTTGTGCATGTACTTGAGTTTTTAAAGGTCCAGTTCTGACTGTTTGTATTAAAGGACAAAGTTGTATTACAAATAATATATAAATATTTTTATACATTTTAATACAAGAATTCTTGTGCTGTGCCTGTGAAGTAAAATATAAAATTGAGTATGGAAAACATCTAATCGAAAAAAAACTATTGAATTAAACCGAATCAATAGCATGATAATCATAACCGAACCGAACCGAACCATGAGTCCAGTGTAGGTTCACACCTCTAGTTCATATTACAGTAAAATACTGTGTGATTTACATAAATCGTTAACAGTGTTGTAGTTTTATGCTACTATGAAAATTTCTTCTTTATTGTTTAACAGAATAAAGAAACTCATAAAGATATAGATCCACTGGAGAGTGAGTAAACAGTAAGTAAATTTTCCTTTTTGGGAGAACTATCTCTTGAATACTACACTAGAAAATATCAGGAAAGGTGACAGCTGAGCGCAACACCACTGACATAAAATCCCAGACTGGAACGGCACATACAGTGGCACTAATTTCTTACAGATGTACAAGAGGGCCAATTAAACCCTTTATAGCATTTCCCCCCTTTGGATTTGCAAGCAGTAATTAAGAATCATTACTGATCAAATAAAATGTAAAGTCATATGCGCTCAGATTTAGCAGGAATGTGAGATTGATTAAATTTACGCTACCGAAAAAAGCCGTAAAAGCTGGAGGCAATTAACGGTTTCTGAGAGAAAAACGTCAACAAGGCTCAAGAGCGCAGTTAAGATGTAACCAAACAAATAAAACAAAATGATGCTCACTAAATTTCGGTTTACAAATCTTACAAATCCGCATCCGTTAACCCTGGTACCTCGTCAGTGATCGTAAATTTGAAACAGCTAAAGAAGAAAAAAAAGAGAGCTGTTTTCATGGTGTTGGTAATTTAGAGGCTTGGCCTGCAGCCAATCAAAGGGCCAAATCGATCCGGTCGACCTCAGGGCCCAATGGCAGTGTTATTTACTACTGTGTGTGGCAGTAGTCACAGATCACCCACTCTGACATCCTACCGTTGGGTGGGCTGAGACCGCAAATAGAATTGTCAGTAATCTCCGCAGTCGAGCTCGAGCTGTTTGTGTGGCGTCCAGGAATACAGCTACATGGGTAATTAGAGCGGATACAGAAACACACACACACACACACACACACACACAGGTGACGCACACTCACCATGGCTTGGGATGCCCATGTTGTTGGCCAGCTGGTAGAGGCGCTGCTGCTGCTCCTCATAAGAGCCATGCTCGTTCAGCGCTGACATCATGCGCCTGTAGTGCTCCTCGGGGGTCATGTGACTGCCCGGCTCCAGCGCAGGCGTGTGAGAGTTTTCTGTGGGACAACAAGCACAGTTCAATCAGTTGCCCCAAATGATCTTATGAGTGTTTGAGTGATGGAGAGGTCTATGTGTGCTTCTCCTTTTGAGTTTGCAGTAACTCAAGCACGAGGAGAGACTCTTGGGGGAGAGATGGGGAGGAAGGGGGGATATTTTACCCTCCTCGTTGAAACCAGAGCTTGGCCCCGGGCAGGCGAACAGAAGCAGTGTGGCCCAGCGCAGGGGATGGGGGAGTGTGTGCTGCCAAGCGCCAGATAATCCACCCGAGAGGCTTCAGGTGTGTGTGTGTGTATGTGTGTGTGAAAGAGAGAGATTGCTATAGTTTTCTATCTGAATATATTCATTCTTTCATTCATTTTCTTTTCATCTTTATTAATCAGGGGTTGCCACAGCTGAATGAACCGCCAACTTATCCAGCATATGCTTTACGCAGCGGACACCCTTCCAGCCGCAACTCAACATTGGGAAACACCCATACACTTTTACATTCACACACATACACTACAGACAATTTAGCTTATTCAATTCACCTATAGCACATGTCTTTGGACTGTGGGGGAAAATGGAGCACCCGGAAGAAACCCACGCGAGGACTGGAACCAGCGACCTTCTTACATTGAGGTGATTGTACTACCTACTGTGCCACTGTGTTGCCCCTTCCTGAATATATTTTAAAATGTATTTATTCTAGTGATAGAAATTGCAGTTAAAGTCTAAATTGCAGTTAAAGTCAGAATTAATAGCCACCCCTTTGACTTTTTACTTCTTTTTTCTTCTAGTGATAGAAATGTATTCTAGTGACTGAGAAATGTGTGATCATCAGTGTTTAAACCAGTTGAGCTGCTGTTTTGAGCTACACACTAAATTTAGTTTTTACTGGCCACGAAACATGAAAAAAAGTGAACTATTTAATCTATAAAACAGGAGAAACAAATTGAGAAAACTTGCTAAAACTGTTTAAAAAAACATGTCAAACTCTAAAGTATTTAATATTGATATTTCCTTTAGACAATATATATATATTGTATAATATATATAATATATTTAAATAATCCTTTAGTTGTTAATTTTTTGTTGTTGACTTTAAAAAACACTAAAGATTAAAAACATCTAAGGTGTGATTAATTTTCAAATGCATACTGTAAATGATTAACACTGAAACCACATCATTATATAGTTATACAATTACTTCATAATTTTTGCATTATATGATCACATTAAACCATACCATTTTCTCAGACATTGTTAATAAAAAAATGCAAACTGGCTAATACTACTAATACAGCTAATTAGGTTTCGCACTATTTCTAAAGCTGATTTTACTCACAACAGTATATTAAGTATATTATGTGATTGTAAGTGTATCATTTTGCCACAAATTGTGGCACAAAAAACAACCATTGCCAAAATTGCACATTTTTGCAAAACTCTTTTTTTTCAAATGCTTGGGTACAATACACACAAAGACACTTTGTTCATTGAATTAAAATTACATTTTCAATATAACACAATTTAGACCAAATTGATCCCATTTCAAAATGAAACACACACATTACATTTGAAAAAACACAATGTCAACTGATACAAGTGCTAAAATAATGAGTTACTGTTTCATTTCTTTTGATACATGGAAACAATATACAATATTACATTTTTAGATTATGAAAATTTCTAAATATAGATAGATCAAATGACATCAGTTACCACAGAAGATGACCCACTTGGACTACATTATCTATAAATGTTAAAATATTGTAATTTTTTTTTCTACAATTAAAATTACAAATGTGTACATTTCAAGTCAGAATTATTAACCCCCCTGAATTATTAGCCCCCATTCATTTTTCCCCAATTTCAGTTTAACAGAGGGAAGTTTTTCCAACACTTTTCTAAACAATAGTTTTATTAACTCATTTCTAATAACTAATTTATTTGATCTTTGTCATGATGACAGTAAATAATATTTGACTAGATATTTTTCAAGAGACTTCTATACAACTTAAAGTGACCTTTAAAGGCTTAACTGGGTTAATTAAGGTAACTAGGCAGGTTAGGGTAATTAGGCAAGTTATTGTATAACGATGGTTTGCTTTGTAAAATATCGAAAAAAATATACAGCTTAAAGGGGCTTATAATTTTGACCTTAAAATGGCTTTTAAAAAATTGATAACTGCTTTTATTTTATTCGAAATTAAACAAATAAGACTTTCTCCAGAAGAAAAAATATTATCATGTAAAAAATATTATCAAATATTATCAGGTTTAAAAAAAATTGCCAGTACTGGGTTGCAGCTGGAAGGGCATCCCCTGTGTAAAACATATGCTGGATAAGGTGTCGGTTCATTTTACTGTGGGACAGTTCATGTTCATGATGTGAAATCCAAATGGAACTTGCACGTTGCCATACAGTTTATTATGCCATATATCAACTTTTGATATGGGACGTGCAGTGAATTATTATTATTTTTTTAAGATTTATTTTTGGCCTTTTTGCCTTTATTAGAAAGCACAGTATTGAGACAGGAAGAGAAGTTGGAGAGAGATCGTAGGGAAATGTCCTCAAGCCAGGATTCAAACTCGAGATGCCTGACGTGCTACTGCACCATATGTCGGCACGCTAACCACTAGGCTATTGTGGTGGCAAAAAAAACACTTTTTACCTTTACTATTCAATTGTTTTCTATTTGTTTGTTTGTTTGTTTTTTACAGTAAACCTACATTGTGATTGAATGACTAAAATTTAGTTTAGTGATTTCACTGTCTGTACTATTCCCTCTACACTTATGTATAAACAATAATGAAAGCTGTATTATGTATTTTAAACAGCAAAATTTAATGATTGTTTATTGAAATGATGTGCATCTTGTGTGGGGGTGAAATAAGGTTGTGTTCCTGTAGCATTTGTATGATAAAAGGATTATGTGAACCAATGATCCTGCAAATGCAAGACTTCTTTATGGAAACGAACACAACATGCACAGTTTTAAACACTGGAGAGCCTGTGTTAAAAGTATTGACTGTTTAGATACTAGTGTTTTAAAAATTGAGATCAGGGTTGTGAAATTTGTGGCAAAACAATTGAAAAACCTGTAATTGTAGTCACTAATATTTATAAACCAAAATCTATTGTGAAAAAAAAGAATTGCCAGTTCACTGCTGAATGGTACCCAACTGCTGCAAGAGACAGGACAGTCCCGAAACTGAGGTGTAAAGCTGCTTGTATTTCAGCCAGTGCCAGTGAACAATATGTGTTAAGTCCAGCCTCTGCAGCTTCTCTGTCTGCTTTAGTCATTAAAAGTAATACCTGCTGCACTGAGATCAGTGCTCCCCTCCAGCTGTGTGTGTGTTTGTGACTGTGTGTGTGTATGTGTGTGTTTGAGAGGCAGGACCATAGACGACGGCAGCTGCTGTACTATCCAACTACACACAAAAGCACACACACATTGCTATGTTGTTTGGGTGTGGTGATGGATCACAGACACGCAGACACAAGACTTTAGATCAGCGGCATTCCAAAGCCATGCTAATCCACAGCGGGTGACCGACGCAAGCCAACTGTAATTCACAGGACTAAAACACACATAACACCCATTTATCATTCTCACCGCAGCAGCCGTGCCGATTGGCCACATGGCGATGAGTGAGCAGGTAATGCCTCAAAATAAAACTCAGACGACTGATTATTGGGTGCGGAGGTGTTGTGACACACACACACACACACATGCAGTTAAAGTCAGATTTATTAGCCCCTCTTTTAAATTTTTTTTCTTTTTTAAATATTTTCCAAATGATGTTTAACAGAGCAAGGAAATTTTCATAAATTGTTTCTTCTGGAGAAAATCTTATTTGTTTTATTTCGGCTGAAATAAAAGCAGATTATAATTTTTAAACACTGTTTTAAGGACAAAATTGTTATTTTTTTTCAATAGTCTACAAAACAAGCCTAATTACCCTAACCTGCCAAGTTAACTTAATTAGCCTAGTTAGTGTATACCTTTGTATGTCACATCTATACTACTGTATAGAAGTGTCTTGACAAATATCTAGTCAAATATTATTTACTGTCATCATGGCAAAGATAAAATAAACCTGTTATTAGAGATGAGTTATTAAAACTATTGTGTTTAGAAATGTGTTTAAAAATCATGGAAACAGCACAGCTAATAACTCATGGGGGGCTAATAATTCTGACTTCAACTGTATATAATACATAAATACATATACATATATATAGTTAAACCTGAAATTATTAATACCCCTGGGGTATGAATGAATAATATTAGGCTTGACTGTATAGATACTTTGAAAAATGTTGGAGACTGGTAGCTACTGACTTCTATAGATTTCTGTTTTTCCTACTATGGATGTCAATGGCTATTGGTCTCTAGTATTCTTCAAAATATTTTAATTTGTGTTTACCCGAAGTAAGAAAGGTTAGGAACTACTGAAAAGTAAATAGTGAGTAAACTTTCATTTTTTGGGTGAACTATCCTTTTAAATAAATGTCATAATAATGCTCGAGTACATTGGTTTGCACCTTGTGTGATTATTTCACTGGTCTGAGCTCTGGTAACTGGCTGCTCATCTTTTCCAGCTAGAGGCTTGATTATATGTGACTTGGTGTCACCGAGTCTGCCTGATGTTTCTGCTGCCTGCCTGTTGCGCTGTTTCACCTCATTAGCTCAGCTGGTTCACCAGACCCAGGAGTTTCACCAATTTGCATTTCAGCTAAATGTTAGCTTTAAAAATTAGCATAAAGACACTTTTAGATGTAGATTCATGTTTTTCTCGATTTCCTCACTGTTATTACATGAAAAAATTCCAGATTTCAAAAAAAGAGCAAAACATACTCTGTGTTAGATTTTTTTATTTATTTATAGGAGCCTGATTATTAGCCATAAGCGTCAAAAGTTGCTGTTTCCTTAAACACTAGAATAAATCAAATCATGCAGATCACACACTACTCATCCCATCCAAAACAGTAAGTAACCTCTACTAGCTCTGGACTCCAGCTGTTTAGACCCTGCATAGACATGATGCTCTTTAAGCAGCACTAGGTGAGTGTGTTTGGTTAATGACCATGTAGCCAATGCCTCTGTGCATATATTTATGCATAACAGCAAGTCCAGCTGCAGCAACATATTGATTTTCAACTCCTACAACAAGCCTTTAACAGGAAAAAAAAAACTCAATTTCTGAGCGTTGGCACTCGAGAGTGAAGCATGTTAGTAAGAAAGCAAGAAAATAAAGAAAAAGATGGGGGCAAAATCTGTCTAGATTCTTCTTTAGGAGAATACATTAAAATCTTAGATTCAGAATCTATTTTTAGAGGCAGTTTACACAAATTTTTTAACCTAAAATGGAAAGCTTTTTATGCGTTTTGCCAGTTTGTTTACATAACAGCATTTTAGCGACTGGAAACACATAAATCTGAAAACAGGTTACAAAGTGCAAGTTTTTGAAAACGCAGCAAAAAATAAGACTTGAGTGAAAACACAAAAAAACGAGACTTAGAAAATAATGGTGTGTGCATATTACGTGTTTAGTAAGGTATAGCTTAAAGGTAAGAGCTAAAAACACACAACAATATTGTAGTAACATTACACATGTGGTAGTGGTGTTGTTGCTCAAGTGTTGTTGCTCAACAGGCTATCAACAAAGTGTGAAACAATTCTACATACACACCAGTGCCAACCTGCTGATGGCACATTGTTAGTTCCTTACAGGTACTGTTTACTAGCAAGGTGACACCACCAAATACTGGCATGGCATATATAATATTTCCAAGTGTAAGGTTTTAAAAATCTCTATTGTAGGTGAAGACAAATATTATCAAAGGCAAGTACTGAACAAGCAATTTGGAATGGCGGTCATTCTCTCTTGACATTTAACGGCTTCAACCACAATATTCTTAACCACGCCCCTCTTACCGTTAGTTTGCTATGAGGGAATGATGCTCAAAATGATGCTCAATAGCTAATAGCATTTTAGATATGCGCATAAAAAAGGGTTGATGGAAAAGACATGATGCGCATTAATTTTGAAAATGCGCATAAAAACAGGATTGGATAAACTTTTATTAGATAAAAAAAGTTTGGATAAAATTAGATTAGATAAATTAGATAAAATTCCAGTTTGTGCAATAAAAAAGGGTCATGTGATTATGTTATAAGAGATCTTGTGATGATAAAAATGTGTGTGAATGGACAAACCAGCAGGCTGAGCACATTGAAAAACATCTGAAATGTTGTTTTGGTCATTCTAAAATGCCTTAACCATTTTAATATTAGTGTTTTTATATTATTAATGACCTCCTAAATCAAGAGCATCTGTTCTCTGCGTGTCAAGCCTTTAAACATCACTGCGCGTTTACTGTGTGGCAGGATTGCCTTCTATGGTGCAGGTCATTTGTTAAATAAATAAAAGATTCACGCAGCTTCTCCTACTGCAGCAAAATCAGTTTTTACTGTTGATATTTGGAGCCAGTTAATCAGGAAGTGACGATTTTGTTCTGTTTAACGCATTGGATTTAATTCTGCTTTATTCGCACATCTTTTATGCAATATTCCATTTTTGTGTATAAAGTTATTTAGCATTTTTGAATGGAGACGCAGCTAATCATGCTCAACAATAAAGCCTAAAAATAAAACCTATATTGCAAAAATAATGTTGATCAAGTTCAAGATTTTTAACTTGAAAGACACACACACTCACAAACACCACATAATGTAAATAAGTTTAATATATAACTAAATTAAAAATTAAAAATAAATAACTAAATTTGGACTTTTCCCCCACACACTTAAGACTTAAATGTATGTAAATGTTTCGCTCAACTTTTAGAAACTCTGCACTTGTAAACTCTCTGCGGACAGTGTGCAAAAAGGTTAGCAGGATCAGGGGGGAGGAGGAGATATCTGTCTTCCACCAAGCGTTGTTTTCTCCTCCCTCCTCTTACTATCTGTCCACCCCTTCCCTCCAGTCTCGTTTAATCTCGCCCCTTCTATTCCCACCTACTCCATCTTACACGCTAAGGTTAAACAGCTCTGATTGCAGCACATTATCATCTCCAGCACACACACATGCACACACATGCACGAGAGAGGGGCCCCTACCTTTAGGTGACACGCTGCGGGACTTCTTGCTGTCAGATGGGCACTCGCTGCTGCTGTTGGGGGAGTAGGCTCTCCTCTTGCCTAGAATGTCATCTGTGGAAAAAAAAAGAGGTTAGGGGGGGGTTCAGATGCGGTCAGATGGCCCCTAAACCCCTCGACGCCTGGCTCTGTACCTGCATACATGATGGAGCTGTGAGAGCGACTAAAGATACGGCGAGATGAGAGGGCCCTGCGCCAGCGTGAATGACAGATCTGGTTCTTACTCAGCCATGTGCAGAAAAGAGAGATTCTTTTACCCGCTCTCTCTCTCTCTCCTATCTCGAACAAACACGCTCCCTCTCTTTTGCGCTCACTCTCTATCTTCGTCTTTTTTTTTTGTCTTGACTATCTATCTATCTCTCTATCTGTGCATGCAAACGCTCCAGGTCTTCACACCGGCCTAAAATCTCCAGAAATGACAAGCGAAGGAGAGAAAAAAAAAAGATGAAAAAAAAGCGAACGGACTTGCCTATGACTTCTATCAAACTCCTGTTGCCTCGCTATGACGCCTTTTGGCTTTTTTTCACTCACTCTCACTCTCTGTTTTCAGTGAATTTAAAGCTCACACCTTTTGCTAATCTCTTCCTTCCTTTCTTTCACTCTCTCCCTCCCCCTTTTTTCTCTATCTCTCTCTCTCTCTCTCTCTAGAAAAGTGGAGGCTGTCTACACTAGCCTAATGCAGCGCTCTAGTGAGCCGCTGGTGTCTAGTGTACGATTACAGCACCCTCCAACCCCCCTCACACATCTCAAATCAATATCCTGCTAATCATGCTGGGAGGGGTGCTGCTGAGAGCATGGTGGTGCATGCATGCAGGAAGGAAGAGACCGTTTGTCATTGCACTCTCTTCTCCCTCTCTCACTTATTCTCTGCCCTCATGCACCACATGAAGCAAAAAAGTCAAAGCCACAGAGTTATGCTCTCCCCTTTGTCTTTTGTTGATGTCTGATTCTTTATCTAAATGGACTATGCAAACAGAAAATGGAGAGGATGCAGGTTAAACATTTTGCCTGCCTTTGAACTTTTGTTGTATTAATTGTGTTTTATTGTCTGAACAGCATAGAAATCATTTGCTATATGGTGTGTCTAAATATCAACTTTGATATAAACAGCGCTGGACATAAGTAAGTGGGTATAGGTTAGATCAACAAAAGAATTTATTTGTAAATCAGATATATTTCCAACTGGAACTGTATATTTTGGGTATCTAGATACCAGCCTATTTCATTTTATATAGCAATACCATGAGTTGGCTGAAGAGTTCTACAGTTGGGTTATTGAAGTAAAAATCTCATTCATTTTCCAACGGTGAGCTATGAGCTAGAAGTTATTTGCTGTGAACGTTTTTCATTTTGATTGTTGAATAATCTTGTTTAAAAGCAGAATTCCTGTTGATTCTCCAAGAAATCTCTACTAGACGAATTAAACAATTTTCACCCAAACATTGTTTTAATGCCCTACTACTACTTAATAGTTGTATTTCCAGTGTTTTTTTAAGTTAATAGTCTTTTATTTTTGTCAAAGTTTGTAAAAGTTTAATTCACACCAGGGTTGATTGAAGGCATTTAACTAATTTACAAACAGCAAACATTTGTAAAAACAATAAAGGAGAAAAAACTTCCAGGAGGGCGAGGCAGTGGCGCAGTAGGTAGTGCTCTCGCCTCACAGCAAGAAGGTCGCTGGTTCGAACCTTGGCTCAGATGGCGTTTCTGTGTGGAGTTTGCATGTTCTCCCTGCCTTCGCGTGGATTTCCTCTGGGTGCTCCGGTTTTCCCCACAGTCCAAAGACATGCGGTACAGGTGAATTGGGTAGGCTAAATTGTCCGTAGTGTGTGTGTGAATGTGTTTGTGGATGTTTCCCAGAAATGGGTTGCGGCTGGAAGGGCATCCGCTGTGTAAAAACTTGCTGGATAAGTTGGTGGTTCATTCTGCTGTGGCGACCTCAGATTAATAAAGGGACTAAGCCGACAAGAAAATGAATGAATGAAACTTCCAGGAACAAGGCTGCTAACAAAGTCAATGATCTCTGATGTAGGTGAAACATTCTACTCTTATTTTGTTCTTCGATTTTACAAAGATCTGTACAGTGCAAGATGAGTTCGTTAGGACCTCTCTCCACTTTCCTGGAGGTAAAAGACTGTACATTTTAAATGTGTTAATGCTTTGTTAAAGCTAAGGAGCGGTTTTAGGTAAGTTACAAATAAATTACATATTACTGACTGCTAGTGGAAAATTGTAATCTGATTACATTATGAATTACACAATGTAAAAAGTAATCAGATTGCTAATTACTTTACTTTGAAGTTACTTTTAAAACATAAAATATACCTTTAATAATACAAAATAAACTGCAGCTCTTTTAGTAATTTAATATTTACAAAAAACATTACAGGGGGTTGATCACAGCAGTTTTAAATATTCAAAAGATTTAGGCCCAATCCCATTTCTCCCACTTAGCCCTTACCCTTTACCCCTACCCCTTGTTTTGCACGTGCCCGTGAAGGGGTAGTGGTGTCCCAATTCTCTTTAGCTTGAAGGCGTAGGGCTAAGGGCAAGGGGTAGAAAAATTTCCCAGAATTCGAGATTCGAGATCTATAATCCCTAATCATAACTCCTGTACAGCAGTCCCACAACTTTCTGTCACTTGATGACACTGGAATACCCTGTAAGAAAAGTCTAGTGGCTTTTAATGAGCTTTTTACAGTGTCTGCTATAATGTTAATGCTGTTTTTGTGTGTTTACATAGATGAATATTGCCACTGTGTTAAATGCACAGTATTACGATCTTATTGTCACATTAGATCATTATGATAACATAATATAAGCCTTCAGTGATTTCCTGAAGATAAATACCAAAAAATAACACAACTGGAATCACTACAGCAGTCGTGATCGTCTGATCTCATATGAAGCAAAAAAACGCGAGGACATATGATGACGTGTGCAGGTGCTGTAGTGCTGTCCCAATTCTTAGGGGTACATTTTAAAGCCCTTCCCCTTAACCCTCGGTTGTAAGGGCCAAGGGGAAGGGGTAGGGGTATAAAAATAGAATTGGGATTGGGCCATAAAGAGTTCACCAAAAACTTTAAATTCTTTCATAATTCCCTTATTTCAAACCCGTTTGTCTTTTTTTTTTCTTTACAAAAAAGAAGACATGAAGAAAACTGGATACCTGTAACCATTGACATGCATAATATGAAATAGTACTGCAGTGTTTGGGAGTTGTGTTTTTTTGAGGTAATTAGTCCAATGAAATGTGCGTATTCCATACAAAGCTTGAAGCTGATCAGTCAATTCTTGTCACGTAACGTGGTTTTCAACTGATGCGCCTGGAAACGTAAGCATGATGCGCATGTGCAATATGCGCTCTGAATATGTGTGCGCAATCCGCACACCTCCATTAGAAATAACGAACTTGCACACACAAAAGACGAGATATGTGAACAGCCCCATAAGCACCTATGCTTCTCTTCACATTCAGAAGATCCCTTCACTCCTGATGCTGCAGAAAAATTCAATTTAGCCTGTTTAGGCTGAGTTGGACAGCCATGTTTTTGGGCCCCAGTGTTTTCCTTGGTGAAGAGTATTGTCATGGTATGCTTTCTGTTGTCATTGCTTTGTTATAGAATGCTTTCTGTTGTCATTTCACTGCAGTATTTTTGTTTTTACACTCAATCAAATCAAAGTAATCTCTGTATTTCCAGTTGAAGAAGCAACCACTCTCGTCAGTAAACATTTCAGCTCGTGTTCTACAGCAGTTTAAAATCGCATGCTTATTAACTGATATTTCAGTGGAAAACGTGATTTAAAAGAAGCATTTTTTTCTTCTCAAAACTATAATTGTAATGTAAGTAATGCTATTACATTAACTTTAGTAACTGTAATCAAATTACACAAAATTAAGATGTAAAAAGATACATTGCTGCGTTGCCCTAAAATGTAATTGGAAAACAGTAACACGTTACTGTGGAACGTGTTACACCCAACTCTGCTAAGAAGTGTATTAGAATACAGATTTTTCAATTATTCATTCATTCATAATTAGTTCATTTATTAATCAGGGGTCACCACAGCGGAATGAACTGCCAATTTATCCAGCATACATTCTACACAGCAAATGCCCTTCCAGCTGCTACCATCACTGGGAAACCATCCATACACACTCATTCACACACATACACTACAGCAATTTAACTTACCCAATTCATCTATACCACACATGTTTTAGACTTGTGGGGGAAACTGGAGCAAACCTTCATGAACACAGGGAGAACATGCAAACTCCACACAGAAATGCCAACTGACCCAACCGGGGCTCGAACCAGCAACCTTCTTGCTGTAAGGTGATTGTGCTACCCACTATGCCCAGAATACAGTTTAGCCACACAGATAACAAATAAGCCAAAAAAGTCTTATTTTGATTTCACAGGGTCTTTAAAGGAAGCCATTACTACTGATGACCCTTCCGTGTAAGCCATGAATAAAGCTCTACACATCAAAGAACAGTGAAGGAGGAGCTTCATGCATGGCAACAAAACTGAGAGAGTCTGCACCTCTGTATATGTCCGACACAAAAGTACAAACTCTCACACTCGTACCTCTCGACACCAAGCTCACTGTTCATCCCTCTCTCAGATAAGAGTGCTGGAGAGAGACACTGAAGAAAAAAAAAAAACAAGCCTGTGCTTGAAAGGGCTTTTGGAGTGGCAGAGCTCAGTCTGGGATTCTTTGTGGGGAGCGAGCTTTACTAATGACGCTGTTTGATGTATTCTCATCGGGGGGGAAGGCTGTCTATCCCACTCCAAAGAGAAAGAGGGGCCTCTCTAATGGGCCCCCATCTCCTCTTCTAACCTCCGCCCAAAGACAACAACAACACTCCCTCCGTCTGTCTCTCGCTCCACTTCTTCTCCCTTTGCCGGCCTTTGAGGTGAAGAATCTCCCTTGGCGTATTCAATTATTTTCCGTTCTCAATCGTCACGTGGAACTGATACGATCGCTGCGCAAGTGTAAAACTCTGCTCCTGTCTATGCATGAGCCAAAAGAGTTCAAAAGCCTGCAGGCAGTGTGCATATCTTAATACACGCCGATGTTGAATGGAGCACATTATGAATGGGACTGTGAAGGTACGAGAAAAGTTCCTAGAATTAAGATGTGCTTTTGTCTATCTGATCACAATTGGACAATGCTACATTATGGGTATAAATGCGGTCTAAATAGTGTGAGGTTGTCCACTTTCAACCACTTTGCCACTCTGACAGCTAGCTCTCTGCAACTCTCACATGGCCGCCCACTGAAGCTAAGCATGGCTGTGCCCGGTCAGTACCTGGATGGGAGACCACATGGGAAATATAGGCTGCAGCCTAAAGTGGTGTTAGTGAGGCCAGCAGGGGGCTCTCAACCTGTGGTCTGTGTGGATCCTAACGCCCCAGTATAGTGAAGGGGTCTCTATACTGCTCAGTGAGTTTGCCATCATGGCCCCCTAACCATCCCCATATTATAATTGGCTTCATCACTCTGTTTCCACTCCACCAATCAGCTGGTATGCGGTCTGGCACAATATGGCTGCCGGTGCAGTTTTTTACACTAGTGGTGTATGAGGAATAATCTAACTTTGGCCTATTCTTAGATGTCTTAGATTTTCACTGACAGACCCAATTTAGTCTTGTTTTAGCCAAGAGAACTATGTTTA